CATCCAGATTACCATCCTGCCTTCAAAGATTATTTCTCTGTGGGGGCCGCTCAGAGAAATAATCTTTGAAGGCAGGATGGTAATCTGGATGAACTGACTGCACAGACCATGTTTTCAGGAGGACTTTCTCACTTCAACATAGATTCTAACTACTTTCTACCCGCTGATCACAGCTAATATAGCTGCCATCGTTCCAGGCAGAGAAAGGATAGGGTAGCTCCGCCCACCGTGCATCAGATCCACTTTACCACCTTGAGCTAGAGCAGCAAAGATGCTTCAGCCGCGCGTCAGAACTAGATGTACAGCATCAAATATGGAGCAGCACGAGCGTTTTTGCTGCTCTTGCTGCTTTAGGTGTGAACGTAGCATGACGGTGGCTAGCTTCCAGCCATGGCGTCCTGCACGAGCATTGGGGGGTCGATTCGTTCACGTATCAGGGTACGTGCACAGGGGGGAGGGACAAGAAGATAATCATGATTGACGTGTCAGGATCCAATAGTGGACCACGGACTGTCTTTTGTGATTGGTGGACGTTAGGCATTGATTTCTCACTGTAGCGTTTCTCTTCCAGACCTTCTATTTCACTGCTCGCTAAGCGGCTGTGGGGAGACCTTTAAGCCACATGGTAAAAAACGCGTCAGAAAAGATCTCCTACTGCACCTTTAAAGTCTTTGCTGTTCCTGTCGAATAGATTGATACAGATTATTCAGGAGAACCAGCAGAAAGTTAAAGATGGCGGCTACTTACCTCGTCAGGGTCTGTTAGCTTGAACTCCCATCCATCTCCAGTCCAGCTGATGCAGGACTGACAGCTGCGGTCGGTCAGAAGCTCCAGAAGAAACTGCCACAGCTGGATGGGGCCGCTGCCTGTGGAGAGACGGTCGAGCAGAACGGATCGACGCTCAGAAAATCCTGAATCGATCTGAACACAGAAACATGAGGCGACATCGCGGAACCAACCGGTGTAACCAGCTAAGATGGCGGCCGGTATCACAGCTTTGCCTGCCTCGGTTTTGCCGCCCACGTAGTCTTTGAAGCTGCCGTGTTTTCGCTGTAAGACGAAGGCGTCGTCGGGCAGACTCTCCTCCATCGGGGGGTCCAGGTCCCCCCGAGGAGCCGTCCAGGCCAGGAAGCTGACGGCGGGAGAGGTTCTGCTGGGAACAGCTCTCATTTCTGAGCCGGTTTCTACCAGAAAGCAGGAGATAAACAAGACACTCAGCTTCTGCAAAACATGAACACTTAAAAGAAGGCAAAATAATTAATTTAAAGCGAAAAATTTGTGTTGCGTCGATACTGATACCTGCATCGGGCGGGGTATCGGTATCGGAGAGTACCAACAAATAGGGAAACGAAACCATTTTTAGAGCATAAAGTTTCTTCAACTATTGTCACCCATTCCAGGAAGGCAATAAAAAGTTCTACTGGGTTCTAGTGTTGTGCCGATGCTATTTTTTGGCCCCAATAACTGATACCTGGCTGTGCAGTATCGGCCGATACCGATACCATCTGTTTAAAATTGATGTGTGTGTATATGAAGAACTGCAAACTAATTGGATGTAAAATAATTACCATCATGGCTTCATGTCAAGCTGCTGCCTACCTTTGTGAAGCAGGAAAAGGACTAAAACAAAGTGGATCCAGTTGTTCAGCAGGATGAGTCTCAAAGTAGAGTTATAGTTTCTTTGTATAGCTTCTCTATTCCATAGAGAAAGAATGACGAAAATCAAAAAACTCTCCTGTTTTATTTATGGCATGTTTATGAATTAGAAATAATCAAAATCTGTTTTTTCTGAGGCATTTTTATGCTGAAGTTCTTTCCAGGTGGTGTAGAATCTATATCAGGTGGTTCTACACATCAGTATATCAGGGGTGGGTATTGGCGAAGCAGTCACGATTCGATTCGAATCACGATGCATCACGATACTTGAAATTAGGGGTGTGCAAAATAATCGTCATGATGATGCATCGTGATTCTAATTTTCGTGATCTACTGCATCGATTCTTGACGCCAAGTATCGATTATTAATTAAAAAAAATTAATAAACAAAATTGCATGAATGGTTGGCAAACATCAGCCAAAAACAAGTGGAATACAACTTCCAGTCCAGT